CAAAACGTTTGGCTTCTTGCAAAACGAAGATGAGCCATGCGTTTACAAGAAGGTCAGTGGGAGCGCAGTGGTCTTCCTTGTACTTTATGTGGATGATATATTGCTCATCGGAAATGACATTCCTACCTTGCAAGGAGTAAAATCCTGGCTAGGATCGGTCTTTTCGATGAAGGACTTAGGAGAAGCCGCCTATATTCTAGGAATCAAGATCTATAGAGATAGATCGAGAAGGCTTCTTGGTCTAAGTCAGAGTACATACATTGTCAAGGTCTTGAATCGGTTCAAGATGCAAGACTCTAAGAGGGGTGCCTTGCCAATGGGACATGATGTGGCTCTTAGCAAGACTCAGTGTCCAAGGACACAGGATGAGCAAGAGCGCATGAGTAGGATTCCATATGCCTCGGCAATTGGATCCATCATGTACGCCATGTTATGTACTCGTCCGGATGTATCATATGCATTGAGTATGACTAGTAGATATCAGTCTACACCAGGTGAGGCTCACTGGATTGCGGTCAAGAACATCCTTAAGTACTTGAGAAGGACTAAGGATTTGTTCTTGGTGTATGGCGGATTGGAAGACGAGCTCGTTATAAAGGGTTATACCGATGCTAGTTTCCAAACCGACATAGATGACTTCAGATCGCAGTCAGGCTATTAGTTGGAAGAGTTCCAAACCGCCAACCGTTGCAGATTCGACTACAGAAGCCGAGTACATAGCAGCATCGGATGCAGCTAAGGAAGCTGTTTGGATCAGGAAATTCCCAACCGTTGCAGATTCGACTACAGAAGCCGAGTACATAGCAGCATCGGATGCAGCTAAAGAAGCTGTTTGGATCAGGAAATTTGTGGGAGACCTGGGGGTCATTCCTAGCGTTGCAGATCCCATTGACTTGTATTGTGACAACAATGGTGCGATCGCACAGGCAAAGGAACCCCGGTCACACCAGAGATCCAAACACATACTCAGGCGATTTCACTTGATCAGAGAAATCATCGACATAGGAGACGTGAAGATAAGCAGAGTGTCGACAGATGATAATATTGCCGACCCGTTGACGAAGCCTCTCCCTTCGTCAAAGCATGATGGTCATGTTGTGGGTATGGGGATTAGATGCTTGTAGGATAGATCATAGAGCATAGTGGGAGATTGTTGGTTGTAATGCTCTACGATGATCCGTGATATGATTTTTTGACTATGTATTGATTCATTGGTTTATGAATGCATTACTTTTCCCGTTATATGATTAGCATGTTTGTTATATTACGGTAAATATCCTTGAATCATTGCAGATGATTCTAAATTTCCTGGTCAGTTATCATTGTGGGAACAATGATGAATTAAGACCAGCATGATGTGTGATAGATGATTATGATCATGTGCATTGGATGCAAATCAAAATCATGGGTTCTCGTTTGGAATGAGTTACTGGATGACCCGCATGAGATTGTCACATGGACATGAGTCATGACTTGAATCTCATACAGCGGTTCGTTCTTGGATCCTCAGACCTGAGATGTCTAGAGTATCTGATATGAGGAGTGACGTGTCTTGACTGCGTCAAACGTCGTCTTTAATCGGATGATCATAACGGCGTTGCTCAGATATGTTCACGAATCATATGCAGATAGTAGACATGCAATACGGGATTTGTCACCTCCTACGCAGGAGAGATGTCGCTGGGCCCCTCGTGGAAATCGGACTGTGAAAATGCGTGGCCACGCTATAGATGAATGTACATCTATTTTATCAGTCGGTTTGCCTAGACGAGTAAGCGGTTGAACTTGAAGGGTGGCTCATACCATGCCCTTGTTCAACATACGACATCGTGAGACAAAGGATCAGAACTCGAACTAATGTTGGCTTTGTTAGATCACCTCTAACTCTATTCTAGGTGGGTGGTCATGGCGTCTTGCTAGAGGCTAACCATGACTTGTGGTTCGGGAAATGTTTCCGAAGCCACTGACACTTCGAATGGACCTACAGGGTCACACACCATTAGGGATGGATCACACATGAAGAGAACGACGCGAGAAAGGAACCACGCAACGAGCTGGAAGGTTCCAGACGGCCAGACCGTCCGTTCCAGGCCTGGAACGGACGGGCCCGCCATGATTGGGCCGAACCGTTCCGCGAGTGCCAGACCGTCCGTTCCAGACCTGGAACGGACGGTCCAGGCATCAAGACCGTCGTTTTGCGAGGAAAAGCGGAACGTCTGTTCCGCGTAGAAAGTCAGACCTTCCGTTCCATACCTGGAACGGACGGTCCGACTTACGGGCAGTTTTCGGTTTTCGCGTTTTAAGGGTTTTGGAAAATTCTAATTAATGATGAGCCACCACAAACCCTAGAGGATGAACCTCAGACTTCCTAGACAATTCCTAGAGCTTTGGAGAAGCTTTCTCTTGAGTTCTAGTGATTGGAATATCGATTCCAAGTCAAGGACATCGTTTTCTCTTCACAAATTCTAGCAGATACGTTCCAAAGCGTTGGAATTCATCCCGCCGGTGTGGATACGTGTAGAGGAGTTGTACTTTCAACTCTTGGTGATTAAAACATGCCCTGGATTGATTGATACTTCCAGATCTTGAAAGAACGAGGTAAGTATTCGAATCCCACGACGATATACACGATTGTTCGGGTTGTTGCACAATTGGTTTTGTGTGACGTTTGGCTAGATTTAGATCTTTCCTTCCGCTGCGTGAAACCTAGAATCCAAACCCTAGATCGATGAGATCGCATGCTAGGAACCCGAAGGGAACCCAACAGGATAAACGGTTATATTCGGTTTATTCAGTTACGTTTAATTCGGGTTTAATTTATTCGGTTTATAATTATTTTGGATTTCAAAAAATCATAACCAAATGGTTATTTCAGTTCGGTTCGAATATATATCGGTCGGGTCCAGTTCGATTTTCAAATAACCTAACGGTTTGGCCACCCCTACTTCTTATGCCATGTTTTTTTTTCCGAAACACGTGAAATTATTGAAATTCCTCGATTTCAACGAGTCGCCTATAAATGGAATTATATGTCAGATGAAATATCAAAACAACGTGGTTTAATTAAAAAAAAAAACAAATGGCCTCTCATTCGTTTGGCTCACCTCTTATTTGTAGAAATGGCCCTCTTGGAAGCATGCAAAACCAAAAACGGCGTCTTACTCCTCCACGTTTGGCGCCTTGCCCCGTCGTTGCTGAAACCGTGTCAGCGGAGGATGGCGTTGTCCGTCGGTCCGGAAACTATCGGCCTTCTCTATGGGACGAGAACTATATCCATTCTCTCGGGAACAAATACGCCGTAAGTAAACTCCGAATATTGTATATGTACGTGTGTGTGTGTTTGTATGGGAAACATATAAAAACTAAGATCATGAGACACGTGAATGACTCTAAACATGCATGCCACATTATTGAATTCGCTGATTAACAATAACGGAATGCAGAAACAAAGCGAAGTCCAAGAGAGAGCTAAGTTATTGAAGGAAGACGTGAGGAAGATGCTAAATGAAATCGAAGGTCCTGTCAAACAGCTCGAGCTCATCGACACTCTACAAAGGCTCGGACTTTCACATCATTTTCATCATGAAATCAAAAGTATTTTGATGGAAATATACACCGTAAGACAAGAAAACGACAGAATAAGTCGGAAAATTGAAGATTTACATGCAATAGCGCTCGAATTTCGTCTCCTTAGACAACATGGCTTTAGTGTCTCACAAGGTAATTAATGACATAAACCTCGTACAGAGAATTTGAAATACAATTTATTTCAGTTTATCATGCGAATCAAGAGACTAACAAGTAATAGGTTGTAACTAATTATGTAGATGTTTTCGATGTTATCAAGAACGATAAGGAATATGAGACATTTATAAACGGTTTAGACAACGGTGCCAAAGGCCTGCTCTTGCTCTCGCTATACGAAGCTTCGTATTTATCGACCAAGTCAGATACAAAACTGCAGGAGATTCGATCTTATTCGGTGAAGATACTAAGAGAATTTGTTTCCGAAGCCGAAAAAACAGATGAGAACGAATCGTATATTAACGAGATGGTGGTCCGATCGTTGGAGATGCCATACCACTGGAGAACACAAAGGTTAGGAGCAAGATGGTACATAGATGTCTACGGAAAGACAAAGGACATGAACCCTCTTTTGCTAGAATTTGCCAAACTTGATTTCAACATCACGCAGGCTTCTCACCAAGAAGACCTCAAACACGCCTTCAGGTACAATTTATTTATGCCAATATGCTAAAATATAGCTGAAGCTTATTATTAGGCATATAATTATCTATATTACGGAACTATACTCCTGACACTTATTAAAACGTGTTGTCGTCTTTGAGCCGTTTCAAACATTTTTTTGCGATGTTTTTAAAATTTAATTCTTACAAATTTTAGATTTTATAAAAAAATATAGATATTAAAATCAAATTTAAATTTATAAAATATTAATATTAATAATTATATCTAAAATAATATAAATACATCATTTGATCACTCAAATAATATAGTTCTTCAAATTATATTTGAACTAAAAATATCAATTAAATCTTCTTGGTTAATCATCTCCAAAAATTAGTTCTCTATTGTAAGTTCGTTTTTAGATTAAATTAACTCTTCAATTTTTTTTCTTACAGGATAATAATTTTCTAATTTGAGAAGATATAACTGAATAAGCAATAAATTAAAATTAAAATTGAGAAAGAATACAACGAAAAAGTATTTAAACTAATCTAATTTGTAATCTCAAAATTTCGAACTCTTCCTCGATATATTATGTTCAAAAAATAAATATGTAATTCAAATAATTAGGGAATATATGAGAGTTATTTTTCATCATTAACATTCAGCAATTTGAACCTCACTTATTTTGCTTTTTTTTTTTCTTTTTACGATGTATGAAGGTGGTGGAACAACACAGGGCTCAAACAACTTCATTTTGTGAGAGATAGAATTCTTGAGAATTATTTCTGTAACGTTGAAATATTCCATGAACCTCAATTTGTGTACCATCGCCAAAAACAAACCATTGTCAATGCGTTGATTGTAACCATTGATGACATCTACGATGTTTACGGCACAACAGAAGAACTTCACCGCTTCACCGAGGTGATCCGAAAGTATGTATACTCAAACTTATGCCCCACATATTCTGGTAAACATTTTATTTACTTTATTTACTGCGTGGCATCAATACGCGTTGATGCAGGTGGGATGTGAACCTTCTCGATGAACTTCCAGAATATATGAGGTTGTGTTTTCTCGTGTTGTACAATGAGATCAATCAGATCGGACATGACATTCTTAGAGAGAAAAAGTTCAATGTCATCCCTTACCTTAAGAAAGCAGTAAGTACATATTTATCCAAAATTGGGTGGCTGGACCGGTAAAGGTGGATCAAAACTTCTCTTCAATCCAAATTCGAATCTTCACTTGGAAAAAACCATTCACCTAGATTTGATGAACTTCCGAATTATAAAAAAAAGTACATAATGTAAAAACAATACTTTGCTTATCCTTGGTTAACTTTAAATTTTATGAATATGAACACAAAGATAAGCATTTATTAAGTAACTTTTTTGAGTTCTCTATGATACTTTCTTTTCATACACACACAAAAAAAGATTAAATATTTCTTTTGTCAGTGGGCTGACTTTGCGGAAGCATGTCTGAAAGAAGCAGAGTGGTATGAGGATGGACACAAACCTCGTTTGAAAGAGTACATTGAGAATGCTTGGGTCTCGGCCGGCGCCTCTATTATATTGATCCACTCTTGCTGTCTGCTGTCCGACCGCCTCTCCAAGGAAACCTTAGACACTTTCTCCGAACGTGGTGACTCCATTGTCCGATCCTCCTCCGTCATCCTTCGCGTTGCAAACGATTTGGCCACTTCATCGGTTAGTTTCTCCGATATTTCTCCATTCTTGAATCTCGACCTGAACGAATCTCTCGGCAAATTTCGAACGACATGACGTCTTGCCCTAGAAATTCAATTCAAGTTCTATGAGATAGACAAATCCGTCATCGGTTAGTTACTATGATATTTCTCCATTTTGTCGTCTCGGATTTGCAATGCAAAATCGCCTTTTGCAACGTTTTTGGTGCATTATATAATAAGCTGTCTGTTTTTTTTTGTGTGTGTGTGTGTAATACCGATCAAACTACAAAATTGAATCATTTAAACCACATGTTTTATATATTTTAAAAATCATGTACGCTATTTAGTACTATTTATCTGCAATATGCATTAAAATTGAAGAAATTAAAACGGTCGCCCAAATATATATATATATATATATATATAAAGAACCTCTTATTTCTAGGCCTGAGAAACAAAAAAAAAATGCATAAATACATGTCTACCAACTAAATTACAATAAAGAACCACTAATCACGTACCAAGAGAATATATAGGTCTTTGCAAAGACCATATCAAAATAATAAAGAAAATGATAGAATCAAAATAACCATGACAAGATTATAACTAACAAAAATGTGTCTAGGATGAGTTGGAAAGAGGGGACGTTCTGAAATCGGTGCAGTGTTATATGAATGAGACGGGAGTCTCAGAGAAGGAGGCGCGTGAACACATGGTGGGAGTGATATGCCATGCATGGGACGTGATGAATGACATGATGATGATGACGATGACGACACACAGTTCTTCACTCGATGGCCGTTTTCTCCAAACAGCGCTCGATCTGGCACGCATGGCACAGTGCACGTACCAATATGGCGATGGCCATGGCTGTCCTGACCAGGCAAAGACCATTGACCGTGTCCATTCATTGCTCTTCAACCCTGTTCCACTCGATCAACCAATGCTTTGATTGTTGAATTGTATACGTATTCCATATATAAAGGTTTCCCTTGTACGTCAAATAATATTATTAAAAAAATCAAGACCAAAATGTTAGAGTTTTTTAAAATTAAATGAATGGAGGTTTTTATAATTAAAAGTAAAGATTTATCCTCCATTTTTTCACAAACTTAAAAAGAATTTATGGCTTTAGATGTATTTTTTGTAGGTTTTCAATCCTATAAATAGGGGTCTTGTCTTCATGTTTTACACACCAAGAAACACCAAACAACACCAAGAAACACCAAACAAAAAACAAAACAAAAACAAAGGCTTTTGCAAAAGAAAGAAAAAAATATCTTTTCCCTTTATAATTCAAGCCAAGCTTTGAGTTCGACAATGCACCTGAGTTTAAAGTATCACTGTTCCGATAAGGTACGTCCATCTTATCTTGAGAGGATATATTCCATTAACCGTAACTACCGCGTGGAGAATAATTTCCTTAATGAGACACGATTTACCGTGAATTCGAATTTGGTTTTTTTGGTTTAAAAAAATCATATTGATATAGTGATATTGTTTAGATCATAACTTTTTGTACCGTTGTTGGAATTGCATGTTTTTTTTGTCATTTCATAGATATCGAAATTATCTTTCTAATGATATATAATATCTTTGATTTGATTATATATCCTGAAAGTTATCATACTTGAAATTATGGTATTGAATTGAAAGCTAACTCATATATGAATATGAGACATAAAATAACACACCCAACACAAGACAGAAAATGAACGATCCTGAAGAGAAAATGAGCAGTTTAAAATAGAAAATGAGCGACCCCATGAAATCGAATCCGGTCTAAAAAAGAAAAGCCCGAATTTTGAGGAGAAAACCTAATTTGCACTTTCATAAAAGGGGAAAGAGGAGGAGAGAGAAGAGGGACTGGAGATACTTGGAGAAACATCACCTTGGAAAGGAGGCAAGAGAGATTTGGAGACTAAGGAGGCATTGGGAGGAAGGAGACCACCATTGAAGACGATCTTGAACATCTCTTTTCCTTTTCTATGTCTTCTCCTTTTGTTTTCTATATTGAAACCCTAGTTAAGGAGTAGACCTTTTGTTATGGGTGAGGGATCCCCACTTTTATATGGATATTTATGCTTAATCTATGATGTTTATGAGTTTTCTTCCATGAATTTGATGTTTTGTGCTTATTGCTATTGACTTGGATGAAATCCTAGTTGATATGATGATAGAACACATTGATCATATGGATATGAGAATGTTGTTTGGAACTATACATCAAATGGGTGAGTTATTCACATTGGAAAATGCTTAACTTGCCCGGGGTTCATGATAGGGAACATGAATACATCTAGAGATCATTTAGACTATTGAGAGATGGGTAAATCGATTCTTTAGATAATGAGTTTAAACTTGGAGAGACAAATTCTAGTAGAAGTGTTTGAAACTCCCATTTGGAAGATAAACCCATAGACATTGTAAACAATGCTTGAGGAGATCAACCCGAAATGGCCGAAGAGTTATTGAGGGGGCAACGGCCAAAGAGGTCCACCCCAAGCAGCATCTAGAACGCTTTGCACGTATACACAATCACTACAAAAAACAAATCATCGAAATCCAACAGATTTTCCAACGGATTTGTCCGTTGGAAATTTTTCAACGAGTTTTCAACGGTTTTCAGCAACGATTTCCCTTAAAATTCCGTTGAAATTTCCAACGGATATCTATTGGAATCGGCCGTTGGAAATTTTTAACGGAATTTTCAACGTATTCAATTGAAAAATTGGGTTGAAAAATTCCAACGGGTATCCGTTGGAAATTTTCAACGGAATTCCAACGGATGTTGGTTGGAAAAAATTCCAACAGAATTCCAACAGATGTCGGTTGAAATTTTTTTTGGAAATTGTTTAAAAAAAATTCCAACGGATGTCGGTTAGAAATTTTTTTGGAAATATTTAAAAACAAATTCTAATGGAATTCCAATGGATATCGGTTAAATTTTTTTTATTTTAGTTGAAAAATCAATTCAAATATATATATATATTTAAATACATGTATTTTATACGTATACATATATATGTCTATATTAACTATATACATATACATAACAAATATATATTATACATATATATATATAAATTCAAATATGTATATACGTAAATATGTATACATATATACTATAAATATATATATATATATGTATATATATGTATGTGTGTGTATGTGTGTATGTATATATATATAAATATTTATATAAATATTTATATATGTATATATATTAATGTTATATGATATTAGAAGTTTAACTTAAGCAGTTGGATGATTGCTAATTGAAATTCTAGGATTAAGGAGGATTGAGTTAGAGTAGTGGAAGGATGAGTGACCTAATAGGAAATGAGCTTCGGGATCGGGATTGGGGTCGGGGTCGGGATCGAGAATATGTTTTGAATTTTTCATTGGAAAATTCAAACGGATATCGGTTGGAAATTCCATTGGAAAATTCCGACGGATTGTGGTTAGAAATTCGTTGGATAATTCCAAAGGATATCAGTTGGAAATTCATTTTCAACGGAAAAATTCGTTGAAATTCTGTTGAAAATTCCAACGGTTGTCCAACAGACACCGATTTCTAACGATGAAATTACAACGGATTTATCCGTTAGAAACATAATTTCCAACGGAAATTTGGCTATTTCCAACGGATTTGCCCGTTGGAAATGACCATTTTTTTGTAGTGAATCGAAGCACACTCACCTACTATCGTGTATCAATAAGAAGCCGTTGGAGGACTTTGAACTTCAACCATAATGCATCCAAATGTTGAACAATACGAGCTTCTGTGGTAGACCCAATGAAGATCTGAACTCCCACCTTACGAACTTCAAGATGAATTGCAAGGCAATCAAGAAGGGAGCGCGAATGACCAGAAAAGACATGCTCTTTGAAGCTTTCCCCTATTCACTTATGGAGAGAGCTAGGGATTGACTCTACACTCTCGAGCCAAATTCCATCTCAACATGGAACGAGATTGAGGAGCAATTCCTTATGCAATACTACTCTCCCACCAAGACTCAACACGCAAGGAATCGAATCAATGTTTTTATGCAAGAGGATGAGGAGAATCTTCATTATACATGAGAATATTTTAAAGAATATCAAAGGATGTGTCCCCATCATGCAATGGAACATGACTATCTTCTATCCACCTTCATCCATGGGTTGAAAGACGAAACTCGACCTTGGTTTGATGCAGCATGCAGGGGTGACATCTACGATATCCCTTTTCAAGAGTTAGAAGCAACAATTGCAAAGCTGGCAAAAGGACGCACTCATACATCCAACGAATTGAATAGGATGAGCTCAACGAAAGGAGATGTAGGAGAAAAGCGCAGCTCTCAAGACTGTGTTATCGGATCTCGCGGAGATAAAGATCCAATAGTCGGTGCCAAGCAATTAGCCACACTGGAAGAGCATAATTTAGCGCAAGTTCAACCGGAAATGTATATGGTTGATCAAGATAAGCTAATTTTAAAACATTTATATAGAATATCACAAAAAATACGAACCTTTTAAATTTGGCAAATAAATATATAAACTTCTAATTTTGTATAAAAATATATAAATTGGCATGACTAGGAGTGCCTCACACGCCCGTCACTCTCGTGACGTTGGTCGTCGCATTGCATGCGACTGCACGTATCTAACGTGCTTGTCACATCCTGTGACCACCGATGTCAAGTCCATGATACAACGGAAATATAATCACACCCGTATGAAGTCCACCATAGGGCTTAGCCATAAACCCTAGTCAAGTCAGCATGACTAGAACGCCTCCACGCACGTCAAGTCCATGACGTTGGTTGTCGTGTCGTACACGACTAAATACGTCTCATACGGTCGTCAAGTCCATGATGGTGATGGTTGCATCGCGCAACCATCTACAAACACAATCATGCTTAACTCGCATCGCACGAGCAAGTTACACACATGGCACACAACGTGCATATATCCCCATGGTACAATCACGCGTATCACGGCATACGGTCCTTGCCGATCTACCGTTTAACGCATGCAATACTACCCGCAAATAATCACGAAATAAGTTTCTCTCGTGCCAATATCACACTCCTCACCGCGACACGGAACTTCTTTGCGATAACCGGAACGATTGGTCTCGATCGTGGAGATTTGCCCTTTGGTGGTGGTTTGGTTCGTCCCTTACCCAATCTGGTCAGGTCCGGATCAACCTCTTTGGTCCTCTCTTTCCCGGATCAACAGTCGTTTCTCCCTTTTATTCGAGTCTGGTCCGGCGGACCAACCCTCGGTCAAATAAATTTACAAAAACACTAAACTTAATTGACTTTTTTATAACTATATAAGAAAATTTTCAAAATTTATATATTTTTATACAAAGTTACGTAGATTTATATGAAAATTTTTAAAATCTATGTATTTTTATACAATATTAAAAGTTCATTTATTTATTTATCAAATTTTAAAAAGTTTCTGTTTTTTTTTTCTATACTCCCTTTATAATATGAATTTATTATCATAAAATATGTAGTTTTTAATTTGATAAATATAATAGTTTTTTATGTATGTACAAAGATATGATTTATTTAGATTTTATAAATAATTAAGATTTTGATAGCATTAAAAATTAAGGGATATTGGTTGTTTTTACCTAAAACTATAAACACATACAATATATATAATTTAAATGTAATTTAGGTATTTATATTAATTAAAAAATCAGATAAAAAGGCGAAGTCACAAAGACGTAATAAACAAAGGTTGAGACAGAAGAATGGAAAATCCATGCGGGGATCAAATCTGACACACCCATTTCTCTCTCTTTTTCGATCCAATCTCCTTAGATTTTTCTTCGCAAACGAAGCGAACTCGAAGGGATTCTTCTCCTACTCGTCTGTCACTTCTTCATCCACCGGAGCGTCCTTTCCTCTCTTTCTCCATCCCTTCCTCTCCGGCGACGGCGATGCCTCGGCCGCGTCATTTCCGGTCCATATGTCTCGCAATCTTTCTCGGGAGCTTGTTGTTGTTCGTCCATGGCGACAGTAATCCCTCCGATGTGTCTACGATTACTCCCATCAACCGCGATCTCTACCACTCCAGGTGATTTTCGCTTTTCTCTCGCGGATTTGATCAAGGAACTCGAGATTTTGTTTGATAATTCGTGGTATTTCTTGTTTACTGGAATTGCAGTTCATGCGATGGGTAATTTTTGCCGATTCTGTGTTTTCGTATCTATTGAATTTTGGGTTGTTTTTTTTTCGTAAAAAATTTTACTCAGTCAATTTAGAGTTGTTAGATGGGATTCAGCGCTCACATAGTCGTTGAACTAAAATTTACACAAGCACAGATATTCATGTGTTATTGATTCTATGAACAATTCCAGAACTGTTACGCACTGATCGGCTCGGTGAAAGATTACCTGTCGCTCTCATCGATGTAGTGGCTATTTCGTTATTTACTGTGCCAGGCTAGCGTTGAGTTTCAGGTGTTGTCGGACTTTGGGTTTCTACTCGATCACGATAACTGATCTGCTACCATCTTGTTCATGGTTTTGTCTTCGTAGTGGTGATTTAATGGAGCTGATAAATTCCTTGGTACACCGTCATCCGGATAAGCTCTCTGTAAGTGCCATTGTCATCGTAGTTTTCCTCTTCGATTTTTTTTTTTCAGCATTGTAAGTAACATAGTCAATCTTTGTGTACAGCTTGAGACGATAAAATCTGGAAACAAGGGTTACCAGGCCGAGCTCATGGTGGTTACATATTGTCGAGGTGGCAGAGAGATTGATGACCGGTCGAAGTTTAGGATCCTTCTTGTAAGTTCCTTCTCTATGACATGTATTGCAAGCTGTGTGAGCTATTCAACTAGGAATCCCTTCTCCTGCAGACTAGTTGGAAATATTCGAAGTACCTAGAATATATGAAGTTTCTTCATAATTTGGTCATTTCTGTTTTTTTGACAGATAAATTCCTTTTCTTCCAGACTTTTGGGCAGCATGGGAGAGAACTAATCACCTCGGAACTCGCCTTCCGAATTCTGTCCATTTTGAGTGAGGAACAGTTCCTACCTAAGACGGATCGAGCAACCTTGAACAGCACCCTAAGCAAGCTTATCATAAAGGTAAGTTTGCCAATCTCTGCAGTCCCATTTTATTGTTCTAGGATTTGATTGATTCAGTGATTCACCAGACGCTGCATTTATTTATTGTCAGCTGGTGCCTATAGAAAACTTGAACGGACGTAAACGTGTCGAAGCCGGAGATCTTTGTGAACGCAGAAACGGTAGCATCATCTGTCTCTGTAATATTGATGATTAATGAATGCTCAGTTGCTTAGTGTTACGTATTTTACCATCTCTGTTAATGGCAGGAAGAGGAGTTGACCTAAATCGAAATTGGGGAGTTGACTGGGGCAAGAAAGAAAAGGTATTTCTTGCGTTTCCTTAAAATTCATTGTATCTTATTCTTATTTCGAACTCTTATTTTAGTTGCCTTTTCCCCCTTCCTCCAGTGTGATGTAATTTCAATGCATCACAGAATTTAGTCATATTAGTCTTTCCTGCACTTACAGGACTATGATCCATATGAAGAGAATCCTGGAACTGCTCCTTTTAGTGAGCCTGAAGCTCAAATTATGCGAAAGCTGGCAATATCATTTGACCCTCACATTTGGATAAATGTCCACTCTGGAATGGAGGTAACCTCTCTCTCTGGCGTTTTCCTATACAAGTTTGTAATTCTTAACATGGAAGAAAGGTGATTACTGTTCTTATGTTAAATACTGGAGAAGTCGTGCGAATGATGGATTGCGTTAGCGTTTGCATAGATCTCATGCGCTAATCTTGGTCTGGTCTAGTTATATGTTCCTCCTGTATTCTTCCGGTGTTTACTGTTTATATCTCATACAGTTGGGAATGGGATTTGCTTTTCATGTCTTCAGGCTCTGTTTATGCCTTATGACCATAAAAACACAACCCCAGAAGGACTGCCTTCAAAGAAGATGAGGGCGTTGCTTGAGCAACTGGATAAATTTCATTGCCACAATCGCTGCATGATTGGCTCAGGCGGAGGCTCTGTTGGGTTCGTTTCAGTTCTAGTGATCCTATGAACATGTTTCTGAAAAACGTTTGTGACACATGTTGTTGACACTTTCTTAAGTGATCGCTTGACACTCATTATTCATGTCAAACTGACATATTTACTCCGGTTTAGGTATTTGGCACACGGAACAGCCACAGATTACATTTACGATGTTGTGAGGACACCGATGGCCTTCACCTTCGAGGTATGTGGCCATCTGTTGGGCTCTAATGAAATCATCTCTTTTCTATGTTTTATAACTTGTCATCATCACCACAGATCTTTGGAGACAACAAAACTTCTTCAAGAGATTGCTTCAAAATGTTCAATCCCATCGATCTACCCACTTTCAATGTATGAACATACAACAGTGATTTTGTTGATGCACGTAAACTCTCATCGCGATATGACAACTTAAACACTTTCATTTGGTGTTTCTTCAGAGAGTTCTCAACGACTGGTCAGCCGCATTCTTCACGATTTTCAAACTGGGACCGCTTCAGTTGGACGAGAATAGTTCAAAGGCCGCATTGTCGCATTTGGACAAATGGGTATCCATAGACGAGTACCTAGATGGCTACTTGATGGAAAGGAGGAACCGATACGGGAAAAACATGGAAGTGATCGATGTTGGGATGCAGGAAATAAAAACGTACTTCAGACTCTTCTTGTTATCCTCGGTACTTCTGATGTTCATGTTCTGTTCCAGGATAGCAAAGAGCAAGTACAGTAGAACCTCCATCCCCATCATGCCTTCGTAACCCCCCTCCCTCTGAAAACCTGTAAGTTATTAGCGGTTTGTGCTCTGAATTATTCGCGTTAGTATAGGATTCTTTCGGTTCCGAGCTAAGACCGTAATATTCTTTGGAACGATATGATACGATTCTAAATTTAAAAGGAGCCATTGGTTAGAATTTTTATAAACCTCTCCATTTGTACAGTATGATGAATCAATGAATTTGTCTTGAGTTGTTCTCTTTTCTTTACAAAGCTGCAGTCTTATATAGAAAAAAAAAAAAGGTTTTTTTTGGTTCCTCTCTACCGTGTGATCCGTATCTCTGAATATTTCTCAGAAGCTAAGTAACCATGAAGGATTGCGACATGTATACATGCATACACACACATACATTCGCATACATACATATGCTTGTATATGTACATATATACATACAAACAACATGTGTATGCTTGTATATATTCCTACATGCACACATATGTACATATATATACATACACATACGTATACGTTATTCAAGTTGTCTCTGCAAAGGGTACTCTGTCGGTTTCCGACGGAAAGCAAGCCCTAGAGAGGCTTCATGTTTGTTTTCAAAGGGGACCACTCGGATTGAGATCAGGTTTCTTCTTCTTCTTGATCTATTATGTTTGGTAACAAGCAGGACGATGACCAAGCAATGGTCGTGTGTTGCATTCTTGGAAAATTAAGTTAAGGATCGTCAAGATTACATGTTAATATGAACTAAATATTACACGAAACCTCCTACGACGCTGAAGAAAAACTATATAAGGTTTAGAAAGCATCTTCTTTTATCCAATCCTTGGTCAAAATCTGGCATATGATCTAAACCAAATTGAAAAGCACTTAGAAACTAACATTAGAGAAACTTAACCCAATTTGGTTAGTTCAATAGGTGAGATGGGAATACAAAACATAAGTTTCACTCCGAATTCGAGTATCAAGTTGGAAGGAGAGTGTAGGAAATTAATAGACACACATACAAGTTCATGAATTAATATTATACAAAATTACAAGTTTAGAAATTTTCAGGTATTTTCTCCTAATAACAACGATAAATTATATCTTGATCATCTATTACTCATCACACGTTTCAATAACATGCTCGAAAACAAATTTGATGATCATCCTATTAAAGACAACATTTGATTGTGTCAAAAAAATTACTCCGGATATTGTAATGATATGAGATTTAAAGATTGTAACAAACAATCATATGAAATTAGTCCACCTAGTAATATTATATGGATCTGTTGGGTTGTTATTCCAAATAAGAATTTATATATATCCAATATATACGATCATCTTATAATCATAACAACACTTCATGTCAGTTTAAATTAATCATAATTCCTATAATGATAGCTTATTAGAGAATTTAGAATTATTCAACATAATAGTTCACTAACCAATGAACACATAAATTGAATAATAATAATATGTTTATTAAATGAACGAATAACATCAGAAAATATCTCATCAATAAAATTGTTTATCCGAAGAACCGAACAAACATCTTTGGCATCATCATCTGAAAATTTGCGGTTGAAAACTTGGGAAGATATTTCGTCCAATAAAAAACGAATGGAACACTAATAATATCCACATCCATTTTGGGCATTTGTTACCGACAAATGCATACAATTCGCATTCGTTTTGGGCATTTGTTAGGTGAAGGGCCTCAAAAAACACGTGAGGGTTTATAAGTAGGTTTAATGCTTACCACGTTTATAAAATCTTTATGAAATTTGGAATCATGTGTGTGTGGCGATGGTTTGAATTGTTTTAAAATTACGCAATTAGGAAACAAAATACAGCAAAACGTGAAAATGTTATAAATATTTACCGTAAACTAAAAAATAAATTTTACAGTTGTGATTTAAAATCTACAAAAAATAAAACTCGTATTCACTCAAAAATCTATACCTAATGTGTAACAATTAATCCTATGAGAATTTACCAAATAAAATATTTAAAAAATGATTATCTAGTCTTTAAAATTTAAATATCTTTCGGAAACTTTTTAGTCCACAAATAGATAGTGCAAAATAATGCTGATGATGTATTATTATTATAATCAAATTTCAAATTTATTGACATACTATTAAAAAAAAACTGATTATTCAGTTTTTAAATAGCTTTTCCAAACCTTTCTAGTCTCCAAATAGATAGTGCAAATAATAATATTAATAATAAATAAAAACTAAAAATCAGTTGGAAAGAATAACTTCATGTCATTTATACTTAATAAAATAATCAACTAATCTTTTTTTCAAATTAAAGTTTTTTACTGATTTTTTTTCGCGTTTTGTGATATCTCCTGTGGGAGTTATAAAAAAATTCTTAAGCAAATTTCTCCATCTCAACTAAAAAAAAATCAAAGAAACTTTGCAATTAATTATCCCCAAAAATAATCGATGTGACAAATGCTGTCGCGATTGTGGAATGGAGGAGGATGCACTGAAAGTCATAATGACATTAATGCCCACGCGACCAAAGTGTAATTAACCCCCTCGGCCCCTCCTCTCCCTCTCTCTCCTCTTCTCAAATTAAAAGTGTAGTTGCATGTTACAATTTATTATTTTTTTTAATAAAAATCATGATTATTTTTCTTGTTTTACTAAGTTTTCATCTTGTTTTTATTCGTAACTCTACATATTAATTAATTTAATATTTGATCTACTTTGCGAAAATAATATTCCAATATATCGAATGTTGAGACATTTTCATGTTTGTTTTATTAAAAAAAAATATGTATTGTGTGTTCCGCTTGAAGATGGTATGGTTGCTATTCCAGGAGTCGGGTTCCCTGTGGGTGGCATGGCTGCGGAAGCACGTCCTCCAACGTACTCTTTTGTGAAACTTTAAGAAAAGATCACATTGAATTATTAAGGATAAAAATTTTAAAAATAAAAAGAAAAATAAAGAAGTGAGCGTATGTTAACAATAACAGGTAGGGATTGTGAAAATGCTTCTTCGGCCGGTGGTGAGATCATTCTTGCGTTGCTCCTTGGGCGATGGTAAACAAGCTTCTTTTTGGTTTGATGATTGGACAAATTTAGGTCCTTTGATTGAGTATGTAGGTGATAATGGTCCGCGCTTGGTGAGGATTCCACGGCAAGCCAAGGTAGCTGATGCAGTCTCGTCCGCGGGGTGGTCGCTACCAGCAGCAAGATCCCAACGAGTGCTGGATCTCCACATCAAGCTATCTACAATGCGATTGCCAAGCACCGCCCACGGCCCTGATAGATTCGAATGGAAGCAGAGAACCAATGTGTTTGCCGGTGTTTTCTCCTCTGCAAGTACCTGGAAACTTCTCCGTCAGCCATCGCCGGAAGTACCCTGGCACGCTCTAGCTTGGTTCCCCGAGGGAGTACCTAGATATGGCTTCATCCAGTGGTTGGCTTTTCGTGGTCGTCTACCCACGCTCGATCGATTGTACCGATGGGGGGCGGTTGCAACCTCTTCCTGCCTTCTTTGTAGCTTGGAGGAGGAGTCTCACTCCCACCTCTTCTTCCACTGCAGCTATAGTAGGCAAGTCTGGTACAGTTTCGCTCGATCCATTTGGAATATGCCGCCTCTAGATTTGCATGCCACTATGGATTGGATGCGTCGCCCAGGAAATGTCCAGTCCCATAATCGGCGTCTTATCACCCTTATTTTGCTGCAATGCTCGATTTACCTGTTATGGTCGGAGAGAAACGCAAGGATCTTCAGAGGGGAGTCATCGACGGTTGTCTCGCTTTGTGGTAAACTAAATGCCATGGTCCGTAACTGCATACTCTCTCTCCTCGGCTCCTCCCGTAGGATTGATTCGACTCTTCTATCCGATTGGTACTATCTTACTCTCTATCCCCGATAGCTGCTCCACATGTTGTTTTTTATTGACTGATATGGTGTCTAGTTAGAGACACATGGGTATTCATTTTGTAGGGTATTCGGTCCTATCCGGTTATGTATACGAACTATTTTTATTAATATACATTTAACTTTTATCAAAAAAAAAAATATGTATTGTATATTGAAAGCTAAACAGCTAACCTTGTTTTAGAAAATTAATTTACAAAACTGGTTTTTTGTGGGTTTTTTCTAAATAGAATGTGAATTATAGAAATGTTGGAAACTCAAGTTACTTCTTATGCCACTTTACACAGTGATCTGAATAGTAGAAACGGTAAATAGCGATGTAAAATAAAATTAGAGTAAACTAATTATAAAGGGGAAATAACCAAAATACTGAGGCGAACATATGTATTCAGGCGATCCCCATAGAAGCCGTAAAACATAAACTTGCCGCACTTATTACACAAACACTGGACATGACATTCATGCGTATGCGACAACACGCACCCTTCTTTCATCAGTAAACCTTCTTGGGGACAAGCCTGAGATGCTCGGCCTTATGCATGGCGACTCCGGTCATGACGTCCATGTTGATGTCTTCAGGTTTCATGCCGGGAGGGAGACTGAAATCGAACTTGTATAGAAGATTCGCGTAAGGAATCTCGAGCATGGCCACCCCTAGACGCATTCCCGGGCACATCCTTCGACCGGATCCGAACGGGATGAGTTCAAAGTCTGTACCTTTGAAGTCTATGTCCTTCTCGAAGAACCTCTCGGGCCTGAACTCGTCCGGGTTCGGGCCCCATGCGTTGGTGTCCCTCGAGACGCCCCACACGTTGACGTTGACCGTTGTCCCCGCCGGAATATCGTAGCCGGCGATCTTGGTATCTTCAATGGTTAAGCGGTTGACTAGGAGAGGTATCACCGGCTCGATCCTTAGGGTTTCTTTCACAAGGGCTTTGAAGTAAGGTAGATGTTGGAGGTCGTCTTCGGTTACAAACTCTCTGTCTCCTACCAAGTTTCTTATTTCGGCCTGAGCTTTCTTCATCACTTCCGGGTACTTTTGGAGGTACGTCATCCCCCACACGACAGCTGCTGCCGCCGTGTCCGTTCCCGCCACCATAATGTCCTTTTAAGACCAAGAGAAGGTATTAGTTCAAGGTTGGGAGTCCCCGTCTTAAACAAAAACTGCAACTGCGGCCTTGTTATTGGATGTCGATGTAAGAACATATATAAGTACGTATATATGAAGCGTGTCAAAGGTATTTAGACATACCAAGATTACGGCTTTGACGTTCTCGAAAGTAAACTCGGTGGAGAAAGGCTGGTTTTTGTAGATATCCATCAAGATATCGATCATACTCTCCGTTTCGGGTTTCACCCTGTTCGGGTCAAGCGTCTCGTCTATAAGTTCTTGCAAGTAGGTGTCCTGAAGTTCGAAAGCCTCTTTCATACGTGACGAGAGTCCGGTGATGTCGTCCAGAAACTTAAACCATGGGAAAATGTCCGAATAGAACATCAACCCGAAAATGGCTTGCGTCCCGTACAAGATCTTGATAAACCTCCTCATCTCGGCGCCGTCCTCGTTGTACCTCTTCCCGAACGCTTGTCTACACACGGTTGAGTTCGTGTACGACAACATAAACTCGCTTAGATCGAAGACTTTGTTTTTGGCCGCAGCTTCCTCCACTTTTGTTATCATACGCTTTGTCTCCTCCTCCCTAACGTGACGGAAACTGGCCACGCGGCTCGGGGAAAAGAGATGAAGGATACTCGTCTTGCGCATCTCACGGTAATAGGGAGTGTAGTTGTTGAACCCTAGGTCACGACGGTCGTACGACATGATCCTCTGGCCACGGTGCTCGGGCCGGTTGGCGAAGTTAGCGTCTTGCGTCTTGAGGATTTCCCTGGCCAATTCCGTGGACGAGACCACGACCATTCTCCTACAGCCGAGATTGTAGGAAATGATGGGTCCGTACGTTTTGGAGAGGCCGTAGAGGAAACGGTGAGGGTTTTTGCTCGAGATTTGGTGGAGGTTTCCGATGGTCGGAAGTGCCCGAGGACCGGGAGGGAAGTTGTAACGGTGTTTCCCCGGTTTTTGGGAGAGGAAGAAGACGAGAACTGCGACCACTGCAAGGATTGTCAGTATGAGATCGACCATATTTGGTTGTGTGTTGAGAAGTCGCTTTTTGGAGGTTTCGCACTCTTGGTGAGTGTAGGAGAATGAGCGAGTGTTTTTTTTTTAAATATAGAGTAAGTGGTGGACTAAGTGACAAAAGATCAAAAGATAACAACATTATTTCCAACTCATGTGTTTAATACAAAAAATCTCATAAAAATGTGGGAACTCTACAAAATATATCAAAAAATATCTTAATTTGTAATTTGATAAATAAATATAACAAAAAGGTTGGAATATATCAAAAAAATATTCCGTTTCTTCAAATCGAAAATAATTATATATATTGTCCTTAATAACACTATCAATAATTCTAATCAAATTGTTTAAAATTATTTCATATATGAATTGTAATAAATTTTAATAATCTTTATTCGAAAGTAATTTCATATTTGATCTTAACGACGTAATTGATGTATAGAAAATTATTTTTACTTTCAAGAGTTGAGGTATTTTTATAGTATATTTCAATATTTAGTTTATTTATTTACCAAATTAAATGTTTCTGTGTTTTTTTTTATTTTATAAAATTTGGATATTTTTATTAATTTTTTCAATATTTTATTTTAGAGATATTTGGGGTACTACCTTTTCAGGAATTCATGGTATCCACATAAATATTGGTTAACTTTTTAAACGATTCGGATTTTCTGAGGTATAAAAAATGATGTTTTAATTTTAGCAAATTCATAATTTAGTCTATGGATTTCACTGCATCCACGTCCGAATGCCAACTATAAAAGGCTTTAATGAGCTGAATTATTATCAAGGGAAAATTATTTAATTTATCTTGATTAAAAATTAAAGTATTTCAAATATGGTGCCTTTAAAAAGTAAAATTTTTGAAACTGATCTTAAATCTTGTGTATGATATTTTTCAAATTAAATTCAAATCGAAGGATAAGATGCTTTTAAATGAAATTTATAATAACAACTTATATAAAATTGGAAAAAAGGGAACATTAAAAAAAATATAATTTACTAACATATATAAGAAAAAATTTCAAATTCTCAAATACCATATAAATATCCTCAAGTTATCAAAATGTTTTGAGGTTTAAAAGCTTTCAAATTAAATTGCTAACCAATTAAGTGATAACTGATAGTAACGCAATCGTAATCACATTGATTGCGGTCGATTATGATACGTTTGTTTGTGATCACGAGAAAAAAATATTTTATAGCAATTGTATTTGTGGTTAAAATTATCAAAAAGAATATCATTTTATTGTATAATATAAAACTATTTTTAAAAAAATATTTTTTTAATTAATTTTATATAACAATTAATTACCTAATTTATAAATAATTAATTATAAATTTTTAGAATATATTTTTTATCAATTTAAATTTATTTTTCTAATAAAAATAATTTTAATATTTAAAATATTTTAAAATATTTATTGATAAACCCAATTAATACCGAACATAATATCAAATAAAATAATTAATAACAGATAATTAAAATAAAAATATATATACAAAACAAAATATATAATAAACTAAAACATAATATTATTTAGTTCATAAAACATAATACCCAAAAATAAATCAAAACACAATACAAAAATCATTAATATATATATAATATTTTTACAAAAAAAATACGAAATGTAATTACACAATTGAAATGAAATAAACATTATAATGACTAGAATTAACGACGAATCCAATATCTCTTGAGCAATCATGTTTCTAACATTTGTCATATACTTATAAGTTGTGAAATCATAGAATCGATCATCGTCGATATCATAGCGTGATGGAGTTGTATTTCTAGGGGGTTCATAAACATAATCCTTTGTAGTTTCAGCACCACTAAAATGAATATCTTCTTCACTACAATTTCGAATGAAATTACGAAGTGTTATAAAAATTGCAACAATCTTTTCTTGTACTTTTATACTATAACGAGGAGGACCCTTCAAGATTTTCAATTTTCTATTTCAAATTCCAAATATTCTCTCAATTACTAAAACGAGAAATTATATCCTGATTGCCATGGTTTCTCAACTATAATAGTTATATCTCCGCAAACCACATCAAAAAATGGTTACTATTTACGTTTTCAAACGCATATTAATTGTTAAACCAAAATAAACTGATATGTGTTCGGCCGGGTTAGTCAGGGTCGGTGGTAGAGGGTTTTAAGGTAAAACAAAATTTTCACATAATTATCCAACATTATGATTATTGAAAATAGCTGTGCATGCTTAGTCCGACATTAAATCTGTTTCTTGCATTTTATGTCACTACAAAGTGATTTTATTGTTTGGGCTTAGAATAAGCAAATAGCTGCATACTTAGTCCGACTAGTTAAAATCTCTCCCCTTCAATGTCGAGAAATCTCGTATAATCGGTATGGTTTAGCATCTGATCGGATCAGGACCAAACCGATTAAACCGGTGATCTTTGGTATTGTGAAGACCCGGCCGGTTTGGCTTCGAATAGATTCACATGAGGAGGAAACAATCAGATTAATATTCCATCAATTTCCTGATTCTTTTAAAATGTGAATGATCTAAATCAAAGGAAAAGAAAAAGGGTAACGCAACCTGGAAACATGAACTAAAGCATCAAACAAAGCTTCTTTTGCATTATACAAGCACTCGTACGTAAATGTAAAACATGTAAACCGAAAGAACACAAATCAAAGACAAAACAAAACAGAAGCATTCAAGGGCATGACAACCATCGGATCGATGTTTCTCAATGGGATGAAGCGGATTATTCCTTCTCCTTCTTGTCTTCATCGGTTTTGGGATGATACCCGGGAAGTTTCTCCTTGATCTTCTCCAGAAAACCCTTTTTATCCGGCTGGTGTTGTTCGGGGGCCGCGGCCTCTGCCACCGCCTGTTCCTCGGGTTTCTTGGCGGTTCCGTGGCCCGGAAGCTTCTCCTTGATCTTTTCAAGGAGCCCTTTCTTCTGTTCCTCAGATGGTTTCTCTTCTTCGCATTTCTCGATCGGGATCACGTGATCTTCATCTGCCTGCTCTTTCTTCTCCTCCTCCTCCTTCTTGTCCTTCTTTTTCTTCTTCTTCTTCTCCTCCTCTCCCTCGGCCCCTTCTTCCTCGTCACTCGACTGCAAAGATTTTTAAACAGAAATGGCAAGGCTTGTGTTAAAAATGAGATAAGCCCATGAACAAATAAACATTCATTTGTGCACCCAGATAAAGAAAACTTAAACTTCATAAAAAAAAAAACATTTTCAAATCACTCTCTGGTTTGAAAACCGATGGCCATGTGCTGCATTTCTTTATCATTCTAATATGTCTTGTGTAAATCGGTTAGAGACAAAAGCCCATGAACAAATACGATTTTGATCGATCAAAAACGAAAAAAGAGATCGACCCATTAATGAGAGAGGGCGAGAGAAAACTTACAGAACTCGAACTGTCTGATCTGTGAAGCTTCTCCAACAGGCGGTGTTTCTTGTCCGTTTCCTGCTCCTCCTCCGTCACATGAACTTTCTGATCGAATTCGGCAGCCACCGCCTCCACCGTCTCCTGAGGCTTCTCTGCTTCCAGTTCCTTGACCTCCACGTCACGCTTCTCCTCCGCCATTTTTCTTTCAGAGAAAGAGAAGTATCGGAATTAGAGCGGTTTGAATGGCGAAAGCAAATAAAGGGAAGTGAGTTGTGTTTGTGAAGGGGGGGTGTCTTAAGGGGTTCATATAGGAATTCGAAAAGCTTCGTTTCACGCGGTTCTTGCACCCTCAATTCATTAATTAATAATAAAAATAATTAATATATATATATAGTTATATTAATATTTTGTCTGTCCCTTGTATGAAAAATCCGTTGATTATTTATGCGGATTATTTGGATTTCTCCTTATTAATTAATCTACATTTGAAATTTATATACTTTTAAGGTGTGGTATATGAGATTGTCGTGGTTATTTATCTAATATATTCTTTTGCATTTTATTGTAAAAACTATACGTTCTTTTCATATCCTTTAAAGCAATAGATTTTAAAAAAAATATTATAATTAGATTAAAATATTGAGGAAAAATGAGATTATATCTTATTAAGAAAAACGAACTAAGATTAAAAAAAATCTCAATGTTCTAAAACTTTACATTTTTGACAATTTTATTCCTTTATTTACTAAATAAAAATAGATGGACCATTATTATCGAAACTCGTGTTGCTATTATTTTTTTTTTTTCAGAAAGAAATGGGACATAGGATAGGACCAAGTAAAGGATCACGATTCTCCGTTAAATGAAATAGACGGAGAGGACAGAATAACGAGAAGTCTCGCCGTTACGCCACATAAAAGCGGCACCAAAGTAACCGACAAAGTAACGGTAATAGAGGAAGAAAACTAAAGGATCTTTCGTCTCTCGCTGTAAAGCCCTGCCTGCTCCTTCAACGAATAGGATTTTGACACGTGGTATGCCAAGTGGGACCCATGCACATGACCGTCCTTCGCTTTGGAGATGAAGACGTTACGGTCGGCGCAGTCGATGGATCCTACGACAGTTTCCGGTTTTTATTTCTGAATTTTCCAATATAATTTTGTATTTGTACGAGCTTCCATTTTCAAATCGAATAATTTTTAAAATTTAATATGTGAATTTATATATTTGTTGTTAAGTATGAAACTATTTTTATAATCAATCAATAATAATTATGTTAGTACTCGGATAACAATATCATACAATGATAATGATACATACGTTGAGATGATACAAAAGAAAAATCTTTAATTTATATAAGAAATGATACTTTTATTTTATGTGAAAAATACTCCGGATTCTAAACTTGACTGTTTATTATATACTTTCAAAATATTGTAGTCTTTAATATATCACATCCTAATGATATAAATGTTTAAAATTTCAAGTAATGTGTTACTATTTTTTTTGCGACCTATCGATTCTAGTGTAATTAAATAATTAGTAGTTAGCAGTATTCGAAGTTTAAAACTCCTAAATAAATAAATGAATTTTTTTCTTCTATACTATTATATCAAATATTCGAAAATTTTATATAAATAATTCAAAATATTACTAATTTTCTGTATTGGAATAACTACAACATTGAAAATATATTTGATTTTCATCAAACCTTTCAAAATATAGATTAATTATTATTTTAATGGTGTTACTTTCAAATATTCTGAAAGTGTATTGAATAATTAATATATGATAATTTTTTTATGGAATTTGAATTCAAATAGGATTAAAACCGAATCGAAACCATTTAGTAGAACGGGCGTAGATTTTTTTTTAAAGTTAAAAATATAGAATATAAAAATAATAGAAACATTGAATATCGCTCAAGATATGCAAAATGGTTCCATCCATTTCGCACATGGTCGCCCATGGCCATGGGCATTGTATTTACCTGACAGGTGATGTCCTTACATTAACTATATCCGCAGTGAGATTAAATTTCAATTTTCTGTGTTTTAAAAAAACGAAAAAAAAAAATGAAATGCACTTTGCAAAACACTTTAAATTAAATATAAAATATGATTTCATTTTTACCGCAAACTATGTTTCTAATTTTTTCCATGGCACATAAGTGGGAACGCTAATAAAAAAAGAACAATATTTTTACCGATGTTATTATATTTATATTTACTAACCATGTTTATTATATTACTAATTGCTTCATGATAGGACAATGCGTTGAACTACGGACGGTTGGTCGGTTTGGAATGCCTACACGTTTCCACACGCGATTTGAAAAATTTATTTACACAAACACACACTAATATATATATATATATATATATATATATATATATATTAAATATTTTTGAGGTAATAAAAAAATAAAATTTGAATAAAATAAAAATCATTAGAACAATAAAAAAAAATTTTGGTTAAAAGAAGAATAAAAAGTTAACATTATTTATCAATATTTTTAACGATATCAACTTATTTATTAATCTCATAATATTACCTGCTTAATTTGCTTAATTGAATGTATATTAGTATTTTTACATTTTTTTTCAACTTCTCTGCGTATAGTGACCTATTTATTTGTCAACAAAGTTATTATTATATTATATGTATATCTTTATATATTTTATTGAAACTTATAAATAAGATTTCAAATGTATTTTAAAATTATTATTTCAAATAAGCACGATTTCTTTCTTTACCATCTCTTTTACCTTCTCTAACATAAATAAAAATATTCTGACCGAAATAAAACCGAATAACATGAAACCATGGTTTCTGAATTCTGATTCACCATAGATTCATTTTTAAAAAAAATCAAAAATTGGAATGAAATCGTCTTCTCTTCCCTAAATCTAACCTATGAACAACCCAAAGCTACAACAAGTGTTTGGGTTTGGGTCGATCTTCCCCCAGCGAAAGCTGAGCAAGAACTTACCTATTGATCGAAGATTTGTTGGTTCAGTCTGGCCGCTTTGATGGAAGAGATCAGTGACTCGCCGTCCTGAGACAGACCCTTCCCTCCGACGAGCCTAACTCCCATCTTGTCTCGCAAAATCCCCATTCTCGCCTCGTCCCCTTCCGTTTCACTGAGCTCCATTGCTTGCTTCCTCGTTACCAAGCCATAAAGACCCAGCCCTTGCTCGGCTTTCTCTCCTCGGAAGCTGACGCTCAACAATGCGAGAGATTCCTGCTCATCTGACTTTGGATTGAATAACACTGAAAATTTCCCAAATTTTAGATCGGGTGTCTCGAATAATTGACCCAAACCATTGCCTTCCTCTTCGTCGTTGAATCCGGGGTGAGGATTAGAAGCGCCGAATGCTCTTCTCCTGGCAACTCTAAGCATGTTCGCGGCTTCTCTCATCCCGCTTAAGAAGGCTCCATGCATCGTTGCGGGGTACTGTTTGTTAGTCGCTTCTCCTGCAAAGAATACTCTCCCGTCTCCAACACTCTCAGCGAGAATGTCGTAGTCATCCCCGGATGATCCAACCGCAACATATGAGTAAGAACCATAAGAGAACTTGTCTTGTCCCCATCTAGAGCAAAGGGCTTGAACAGGGTCGGGAACAACAATCCCTTTCGGATGAAATATCCCACGTAATATCTCCAAGACCCTTTTCACGGATTCAGTGGGAGACATTGTTTCAAATCTTTCCGCAGCATCCCCAGCTACGAGTGCTACAAGTAGAGGACCGCCTGAGACAGAAGAATAGCTATAGAACAAGAAGAATTCTCCCCTCCAACTCGAATCTTCTGTTAAACGCCCAAACGTGTCTATCTCTCCACCCCAAAAATTATATGGAAACAACATCGCGACTTTGTTCAACAACCCGTATCCCAACCTCTGAATCGCGTCTTTCTTTCTCTGAGGAAGCTCGGGGTAAAACTCGATTGCCCCTTTCTTTAGAACACCTAATGGAACTGTGCAAAGAATCATATCACATAGAAATTCCTTGTCCCCAGCATAAACCAGAACCCCATCACTTCCATATCTAATGCTACTCACTGATCTTCCATAGAAAATTGGAAGATTTTCGGCCAATGCATGTACAAATACCTCGTTCCCACCAGGGATAAAACAATGATCACCGCCCATCTCATATGGATCATCCTGATCCCAGTTTGCCATAGACAGATTCCCTAGCAAGGAAGCATTTGCATATTCTAAGTTTGCTAAATGCCAGTCTAGGAGCATTCTCTCCTGCGGATCCTCCGCAACCGCATAAACCTTTCGAAAAGCTTCGAGCGCTTCTCCCAATGGCACATCCACCGACTTAAGCTCCTCTATCATGGATTGTCTAAGATTACAGACTCTGTCCAATAACTTGTTAAACGATGCCTCTATCTTAGAATCAATACCAGCATCGACAGGATCTCCATTAGGTAGATACAAAGGGCAAATATCTCTCACCTTATGAAGAGGCAAACCGAGTTGCCTGGCAAGAACCCCAAGTGGGTTTCCATTTATTCCGGTTAGAACGCTTCCGCCTACATCTGCCATTGCCGCAATTCCATCACCGCCTTTCATCTTCCGGCTCTTCACCCGTCCTCCAGGTCGGTTTCTGCCTTCAAGAACCAAAACCCTAAACCCCATTGACACCAATTGTCTAGCAGCAACCAAACCCGAGAGACCTGCCCCTACAACCACAACATTGGCTCTCTCCACTCCATCAAAAGACCTCGACTTCACTTCTTTAATGGCGGGCGCAAGCCCGAAGTTGATATAGCCATGCTCCAAAAGGAAATTGTAGGCCGAATCAACAAGGGTTTTGTGTTCGGCGCGTATGGACTCGTGAGCGTGGTCTCGGGTCAACCAAACCGAGACATTGGATCGCCACAGGGCGAGAATGTGGTTCCTCACGACAATATAATTCGCTTGTTCTCTCCCTCCGATTACCGAAACTACGTTCGCTTCGATTTCATCCTCCGTTAGCGAATCAACCGGAAACCCGACAGAGATGGCGATTAGAGCTTCAGTGTCTACCTCTGTTCCGATTCTATGACGGCGATTTCTGGAGAAGGCTGGGTTCGCGTTAATCTCCGTGAAGAACCGCTTCCTACGGCGGCGTTTTCTGGGTCGTGGACCAGGTTCCGTTGCATTAGGGTTTCCCAACTGCTCAGGCACCGGATCGGAGGACTCTTCTCCAAGGGATTCTGAAACGAGGGTTTCCAGTTTAATACCTGGAGGAGGGAGAGGCGAAGACGGCGGCGCTATCATCGGCGAGTGGTTCTCCGGTGAGTTCTGGACATCTCGAAGGAGGTTTTCCGACGGAGTAGGGGAGAGTGAGAGGTCAGTCTCCGTCGCTGATGCGTCGGAAACAATGCCGTCACCCTCACGGGCAAGGCTTCCCGGAGCTTCTTCCGTTGGTTCCATGGTCGGAAAATGGATTTCAATTCGAATCAAAATTTTGTGTAGAATTTTATAAAGCACCAGTAGCGACCATCACAATTTCGAACGAAATCTTCGATACTTATCGTATTTTTTGTTAGAAAATACACCGAAAATGATTCAATCTCTAATGTTAAAAAATGTCCGTGTAAAAAAAGAAAAAAATATTTGTTTTTTTATGCGCGTAGAATTTAATGTGTTGTTATCATTATTGCACGCTATATATTATTATTATTATTATTATTATATGATCAGTCTTTAAGATGCGTGGGCAATTTTATGTAAGGATGAATAACAATTCAAACCAGAATATTTACATATATAAATATATCTACAATATTCACCTCAAATGTTTAAAAGAAAATAAAATAAAATAAAACAAAGGACATATAACATCACAAGTATTGAAAATATCTCCGTCTGGTCCATCATCATATCCCATCCCCAATTTTTTTCGTCAATAAAGAAGAAAAATTGTTGGAACAAGTCCTGCCCGTATTTAAAGCTAGAACTGTACCTGGGTCGTTAATTAGCTATTTGATTTTAAATCAACTATAAATATGTTAATTGATATAGAAAATGCATATCAATTGCTTACGCACACGCATATAATATATATATATATATATATATATATAAGTTCCACCATTATCTCATGTTCAATTCTCTAGTTTACTTTCTAAATCAATATAATAATTTGTGGGGGGGGGAACTAAAAAAAAAGAAAAAAAAAACACTAAACTTTACAATTTTGACAAAAAAAACACTGAATTTTATTTTTTGTCAAATAAACATTAAACTTTTTAAACGAATCTAAAAAAACACTGAACTTTTTAAATGATCCAAAAAATACATAAACTTTTTTGCGATTATAAAAAAAACACTGAACTTTTTTAGTGATTCAAAAAAATATATGAACTTTTTTCGATTGTAAAAAAAAACTAAGTAAAATAATCTGACGTGTTTGCGTCTCATTGGGCCACATCATTCATTTTGTTCATTTTGATAATCGTAGAAGAGTTAAGTGTTTATTTTGTCAAACTTAAAAAGTTTAATGTTTATTTGATAAAATAAAAAATTCAATGTTTTTTTTTGTCAAAATTGTAAAGTTCAGTGTTTTTTTTTTGGATTTTCCCAAAAAAAATGAAAATTTGAGTTCAAACCAAACATACTTTGCATCATACCATATGCAATCTTTACCGGTCTACAAACCTTTTATCATAAGAACCAAAAATTTCATGTATATAATGAAACTCAAGAAAAATAAAAATGAATTTAAGAAAACTTATCTTGTGTAAAGAACTAATTTTTTATATAATTAATTCTCAATATATCTAATCAAATATTAAATCATATCCAATCGAGCCAAAGAGACAAATAAGCCTTATGTACATATCCGGGTTTAAGCTTGTAAACCCATTAACACCTTATAACGTTCTTGTCTTTTGGTCGAGCAGTCAAAATCCAAGTTTTGTTCTTATGTAGGGAATCCATTTCTTCAGTCATTACTTGTTCCCATAGCTTTCCGTTCTTGTGTGCCTTAGCTTCTCTATATGATTGTGGTTCTTCTATCTCTATGGTCTGTGATACAAACAAGGCAAAAGTTGCGGTCTCGTTCTCCCTATACCTTAGTGGAGGCCTAATATCCCTCTTAGCTCTATCTCGTGCAAGAACATAGTCAATGAGCTTTTGAATTACTTTTTCAGGTGGGCTTCCATCTAATGTTTCAAATGACCCCGAGTTTATCCCCATAGTTGTTTTGTTCTTCTCTGTCTGTACTAAGGATTCATGTTGCACAGATTGTTTAGTAGCTCCACCTTGCCTTCCAAATTTTTATGTTGTCACCTCAACTGATATTAATGGAAGTTGTATGACTTTCAGTTCAGATTTCTCGACACCCTTTTCAGTTCTTTGATCGTTTTCTTTCTGAGTTTGCAGGTTCTTGTAGACAGTTTCTTCATCAAACTTTACGTGTCTACTGATGATAACTTTATCTTCGCTGAAAATCCAGATCTTGTAGCCCTTTGCTCCTGCAAGGTAACCTATGAAGATCCTTTTTTTTTGCCCTTGGCAGTAGTTTCCCTTGGTCTTCATGCACATATGCAACACAACCACATCTTCTGAGATGATAGCTTGTTTCTTTTCCTGACCAGATTTCATTTGGAACTTTGAAGTTTATAGATGTGGATGGCGATCGGTTAATAATGTGTGTGCCAGCAAAGGCGGCTTGAGCCCAGAACTCTTGAGATAAACATGATTGACAGTAGACATCGCACATTTTCCATGATTGTGTGATTCATCCGTTCCGCAACTCCGTTTTGTTGCGGAGTGTAAGCACAGTTTTATGCCTCATTATCGCTTGTTCCTTACAGTGATCTTCAAATCTCCGATTGCAGTATTTAATTCGAGTATGTTATCTGTCCTAAGAATTTTTGGTTTTCTTCCCGATTGTCTTTCTACCATAGCCTTCCATTCCAGAAAATTTTCAAACACTTCGTCTTCTGATCTCAAAAAATATATCCAAACCTTTCGAGAGAAATCGTCTACAAAGGTCATGAAGTATCGATGCGCTGACAAGGATGGAACACTGGCGTGTGACCCCAGAGATCGGCGTGCACGTAGTCTAGTATTCCTTTTGTTGTATGTTGCCCTGTTCCAAATGCCAATCTATGGGATTTCCCACAGACACAATGTTAATAGAATTTCAGACTTGATACTTCGGCATTGTCTATAAGTCCTTTCTTTGCCAAAATTTTCATACCCTTCTGTGACATGTGCTCGAGTCTGTTGTGTCAGACTTTAGTCTTGTCTTGGACTGCATGCGACTTATGTATTTCACCTATAATGGTTTTTCCATCCAAAATGTACATGCAATTTCTTAGTTTACCTTTTAGTATTGTTATGCACCCTTTGTTACCTTCAGACAACCATCTTGACTTTTGTACCAACAACCCTAAGTCTCAAGTGAATCCAAACTGACCAGATTTGTTCGCAATTCAGGCACATACCTAACTCCGGATAATATAACCTTTGAGCCATCGAATGTCTATAGTTTGATGTTGTTGGGGTTTCCTATTTTACAGGTTGATTGATTTTCCATCATAACCCCGCCATTTGGCTTTTCTGATAATTCATGAAACCATTCCTTTCTCGGGCACAGATGAAATGTACATCCAGAGTCGAGCATCCATTCGTTGTCACAGTCTCTTGTTGATGATGTGAGTGCCTCTGTATCATCAATCATCAGAACCTCTGATTCAAATCTGATACATTTCGCAACATCTGCTTCTTCATTGCTTGAATCTTGATTGTTTTGCTCTCTCTTTCTAGCATAACAATCCTTGCGAAACTTCTTTCCGTAGTCCCAACATTCTGCTTCACTGGTCCTTCATTTTGATCGAGATTTCGATCTTTTTTATCCAGACTTACCTCTGGAATTTGACCTTCCGCTGACGTTGAGGCCTTCACCTGATCCTTTTCTAATCTTTCCTTATGCGGTCAGTTCCATCTCTTTCGAATGCGTTGTTGCCTTGACCTCTTCGGGTGTTATTATTGCTCTTGAGTACTTGATTGTATTTCTCGGAGTTGGTCATAAGTAGGTGGAAATGAGTTGAGCAGGTACACAACTTGATATTCCTCAATTTTCATTTGCAGACTTTGGAGATCTGATAGAATCTTCTGAAATTCATCAAATCGATTTTTGGTAATCCATCTTGAATCCTGATACCCTTTACATCAGATACATCATGTTTGGTAGTGATTATTCAAAAAACAATCGTTCTAATGCTCTTCAAATTAAGAATGCAGTCTTTTCCTGAATCACCTTTCGCAAGATTTGATCGGAGAGACACAACACTATCAGATTTTGAGTCTTCTTGCTTCTTTCAGCTCTCTCTTGATAAGTTCTTTTGCCACTTTGCTTGTCGCCTGCAACTAATACTGGTGTTGCAATCACAACTGAATTCATGTCAGGCGTTTCTGATGAATCGAACGATGAATCTCCTATAGTTGAGCCTATACGAGGTGTTCTTTCCTCTTGACCAGTTCTTGAATCTTCAATCTGGTTCCAATCGGTAGGATTATCCTCCAACGTTTCAAGGAGACCCATAATTTCCAATCCGATTTGAACCTTCTCTTTCCAAAGCACAAAATCTTTCTTACCATCGAACTTTTCGACATCCAATCTCTGTATCGGAACAACCATCTCTCTTCCTTTAGAATAATCTTCGAATTCCAATCTCGATTCTTCACGAATAGCCTTTCTCCCTTAGAATCGGACTCTGATACCACTTTTACTGTTTCGAGTTGGATTCCACAAGAACTTCACAACTCGACGAAGTAACGAACAACGAGAATCTCTCATATCTCACTGAACGACAATGATTTGAGAACGAAGAATGAACCGATGAAATACAAGATACGACCGAATTCAGATCCTACGTCTCGGAAAGGGAGAGAGAAGATTACTATGATCAGAGGTTACACGATACAAGAATCTATCAAGGCTCAAGAATGAATTCGTTACTCGGCCAATTACCCAGACCTCTACTTTATATCGCAGAGAAGAAGAAGACTTAATTCCCGCTTATCTGATTTTAGGGTCAAAAGGTCAAAGCTTCTTTTTCAACCTGTCTTTAAGTGATAGTAGTAGTAGTTTAGATGAAGCTGCACATGTAAGGAGAAGTCCAAATATATATATATATATATATGTAAGGAGAAGTTGCTACGTACGCATAACATTTTGACCAATATTTATATGGTAGAGAAATTCTGTGGTAACTTAACATGTTTTTAATATGTTGTATAGAATTAAAATAAAAGTGAGTTTTATGTAATAAAAAACATTAATAGATAAATAAAATTTTACTGTAGTTAAATTCATTGTGTCTATGTTAAAATACACTTATACAAGGAGGATATGAATAAAAGAAAACATGACAGATCCAACTTGCTTGAATCTTTGTGGAGATGCTCCCTTATTGGTCTAAGTTATTGGATTATGCCCTATATATATAAAACTAAGGATCTTTTTTTTAAAATAAAACTAAATTAAAAATATATATATAAAAGGTATGGGTTTTTTAGGAATTTTTTTTATCATTTTCAAATTATATACATGGTTCAGAAAAATCAGTTTTCTATATACTATTTGAACAATTTCAGATATACGTCAATTTATAATATCAATTATCACACCATACATATACAAATGCAACCCTTAAGATAAATTAATAACAACAAAAGTTCACTAGAAAAAATATTAGAGATATATACGAATCCACCATGATAAAATATGAGAGATTAGTATATATCTCTAATAAAAAAAAATATTAATGATATGAGAGAGTTGATTTAGTTATAATAAGATTAAAAGATGGACACCAAATCCACCATATATACTCAAATCGATTATACATATATCTGAAAGATGAATAATATTTAAATTTTCCATACTCAAACTCATACAATATATATATATATATAGAATTATAATTATAAGTATCTAAATCATTCAAATTTTGGTCGTTTTTTTTTTCCAGATTTGGTAATCATGGGGTCCAAAGATACCTGTTTTAAAATATAATTGAGAAGCCGTAGTTCATGTGTGCAAAAGGAAGAGCTTTCCAGCTAAAATCGTGCAGAGGGACCCATCGAAAGCTTTCGACATCATGAGGATTAATTAATTTTTCTCATTACAATGAAACCTCACTTGAAAGCCTTTTGATCATGTATAAATTGTCTCAATTTTATGGGACAAAAGATAAGATTCTAAAGTGTGCTGTTTTAGTGATAGAGATGTCTCGGTTTTCGGACAAACACAAAAAATACCAATAATCTCATCCTTAATTACCAAAAAATAATACAATTAAAAAAAAACGTTGATGGTAGCGTGACCTTTTTTGCAAAAGTATAAAAGTTAAAAGGGAGAAGCACACATACACGCAATTAATATTTCTATTACGTCATAATTCAGAAGATAAAATCTCTCTTTACATAATTTTTGTCACGGATATAAACAAATCACGTGCCTTACCTGTACGGATCTGATTACATAGAGTACGGAAGATACGATCGAGTGTAGAATTGGTCTACGCGTGTTTTCTTGATAGACCCTTAGCTTAACGGCTTTAACACTTCGGGTGATCTTTCCTTTTTTGTTTTTCCAACGTAAGTGAACCCTCACTTAACTCAGTATGTCGGCAGCATTTCCTATAAATAGATCGAGCGCTTTAGTTAGGGTTTCTACCTTTTGCCCAGGAAACCCAAGCACATTCATCTTTAACGATCTGCAGTACATCTGAATCCGTTCTGATCGACGTTCTTAGTTCCTTCTACCGTGTTCTTCGTTACGAGCACTCCTCTCTTGCCGCCGATTCTCGTTACCTCAGGGAGATGTCGAACAACCCATCATCTTCTAGGCGTCCGCCACTTGGGCTTCGGTTCTGCCCCACAGACGTGGAGCTCGTCACTCGTTATCTACCGAGGAGGATCAACAGCGGACCCTGCGATGACGGTGTAATCCGAGACATGGACGTGTACAGCAAAGAGCCATGGCTGCTTCCTCACAGGAGACATCCACTTTTGGAAGAGGGCCATTGGTACTATTACACTGAACTCGCCCCCCTTTCAGGCAAGACCACTGCAGGAAAGAGGGCGAAGAGAAAGGTTGAGGAAGACCCTGATGGCAGATCTTGGAACTCCACGGCCAGGGAGTCAGATATCTTGTTGAACGGTCAAGTCGTGGGGAGAAAGATGGTCCTCAAGTTCGGTGATAACAAGAAGAAGAAGAAGAACGAGAAAGGGGAGAGCAGTAAGGCGAGAAACTGGATCATGACTCAGTACCGGCTACTTTCAGCGTCTTTCCAAAAACATGTGATCTGCTGGATTCGTGACTTGTCCAAAGAGGGTTCATCTTCCAATGAAGCTTCTTCCTCGGCCTGGGCCCAGACAACTGAAGATCGTGCTCCCGTACCTTATATGGCATCGTCAAATGGGTTGAGTGTCCAACATCATTCACCGGCGGTTCCGTCTGAGTTGGAGCAAACAGCAGCACTACCAGCGGTTGAGTCGGTTCCTTCACAACACTGGGATTATCTGTACCCTCCCATCCAAAATCCCGACATGCAACCTCTTCTTATCCAACATCCCAACATGCCATCATTTCGGATCGAAGACCGGAACATGCCATCTATCCAAGAACTCTACATGCCATCTCTGATCCAAGAGCTCAACATGCCGTCTCTTATCAACCATCCAATCAGGCCATCTCGGATCCAAGAATCCAACATGCCATCATTTTGGATCGAAGAACCCGACATGCCATCTCTTCTTATCCAGCATCCGAACATGCCATCTCGGATCCAAGAGCCCGACATGTCATATCTGGTTGAAGATCCAAACATGTTGTGGACAGAAAATCTGTCGCTTGTTCCTCACGCAACTGGTTTCACGGAAGTGCCTTCGACCGGGGAACAACCATTGGTTCCTTATGCTTCAAACACTGTGGTTGCAGCTTCTCCAAGTGAGTTAGACACAATCCCTCGTGAAGCCGAAACTGAGCAGCAAGGCACGAACAGAGGAGGAATAGCTGTGTCTGAAGAAAGAGAAATCTGGTTGTCACAGTTGGTGGAGCACATGACAGCAGAGATGGAAACCCCTTTAGAGACATTGAACGAGGAAAGCCCTTTGATTGAAGTCCCCATGTTTTCATGGGAGTATCCATCTCCGTTCCAACAACAAGCCCCACCAGTTGCTGCATCTGCTCGTCAGGAAGATGAGGATTAATTCATGTAGTTACGAGAATATCAGTTATAAAAAAACTCGTGTTTTGCATTTTTTTTATATTGTTTGAGAGAAGATGTCGATCTTAAATAAACTTGGGCAATATTCATTTGTAAAGAAAAAACCTTGGGGTTCTCAATCAATCCATGCCTTCGTTTTAATTGTTTAATTTTCTGGATTGGATATTGATTGGTTTTCTGGGTTATAATTTAGGTATTACATGTAATATCTATGTAAATTTGGGTGTTTTTGCATTACTCTGTCTAATTCTCTCCGTTACGTTACAATAGTGTAGCGTGACTTATATGTGTATTATTTGATAATTTTTTTTTATGTTCATCCTTTCAATATTGTTTTAAAATAATAAAATTTTGCTCTCATTCACAATGTCGTGGATTATACATGTATCGTGTATATTTCACCATCTTCATATTTTTCCTAATTTTCTTTGGCTATATATTCTTCAATTTATTTTTCTTATCTTTTACATTGTCTTTATATGAAATACTTTACTTGAATTTTTTTTATAAAAAAAAGTATCGCCCAAAAGCTAGTCGAATTAAAATGAAACATTAATAATAAATGACACGTATCATTATCAGTAGCCGTCCATTCATATTTTGTTTCATTTATATACTCACAATAGGCAGAAAAAGGTCAATAGCGGCACCACGGTTCCACGAAGCAGCATATACAAGATTTGTTTTTTTCGCGAAAAAATAGGTTAATTGCATGCTTTTTTTTTTTATTCCGTATCAAATTATAACTTTTTATCATTTAGCTAAACAAAAAAAGTATAATTTTGATAAAATTATTTTATCTTATGTTTTGCCACGTTATTCGCAAAAATGAAATGGAAACACTTATGTTTATTTTTTTATTTAAGTGCTAAGGTTTGATTTTTGCTCAAATGTATACATGGACTAATTAGTTGCGGATATCGCTTATATGGGCATACAAAACCTTTTATTAAGTGTGTTATATGACCAAAAAATATGTTATAAGAAGTATTATAGTATAATATAATATAATATACAGAAAATTCCATATGAATACATTAATTTGCATTAAAATAAATAAATTTATTAACTCCTGAAAAATACAACATTATAATATAATATAATTCTTAGAAAATAAATAAAAATATACTTTTAAAAATTCTCATTCAATCATATTCTAAAATATTATACTCAAATAAATTGAAAACGGAATACATAGATGTTGGGCCCGCTCGGCCCAGCGGCCCGTTTGGCGGAAAAGGAACTCGGCCCATTTGGCCAATACGCAGCGTTTTGAACTAAGGGTTAATGAAACCCTAATATTGGCGTGTATTCGACGACGCGGGTGTGTGGCTCGAGGTGAGAAGGTTCGAGAGAGAGAGACCGGAGAAAGAAGGAGACCGCGACCGCGGTGGAGCTTTCCCGACGTTTGGTGGAGCTTGGACTCGACGACGACATAAGGTAAGTGAGCCAGGGTCGGTAAGGTGTTGTGTTCCTCTCCTTTCTTGGTTGTCTTCGGACTGGTTCTTTATTCGGCGAGTCTCCAAGTTATGGAGCACCGTCGTCTCTTGTTCTCTCGGTTGTTTCCGTTCTCTCTAGTGGATTCGTCGGCACCGTCCGACCGAGATGTAGGCTCGAGCTCCGCTCGGTAACCGAACTCGTTAAAACTCCGATTGTCTTCTTCTTCCTCACACGTACGAGCGTCGGAGAGAACCGTGAGGGTTCGATATCGACTTCACAAAGTGGTATCTGTGACACCCGTAACCCATCTCCCGCTCACGAGTTGTGCCACATGGACGTTCAAACATATAATAAAATAGCGGGAATTTAAAAACATTTTATTTTATTACACACGCAGCGGGAAAACCAGTATATGTTTACAAACCCACGTACAGTAGTATACACACCAACATAAGGACGGTAACTGTAATAAAAATACAAAGTCAGGTCACCGCCCGTACAAGCCAACATAAGTCCAAAGAAAGAAAAGTACATGATCCAGATAGCCCCTCACACGTCACCAGTACCCTCGTCCTGCTGCTGCCAATACTGCTCCGTGCCTGAAACGTTGCATAACAACGTCCATAAGCTACGTGCTTAGTGAGTACTTCGGGTTAGACCCGAAGATCATACTCAAATTGCAAATGGCCAAACACAATCAATATTATACACACACTAGATATAAGTATATACATATATACACACTTCATGCCAGGAAAACACAGTTCACTCAATCGCACAATTAATTCACTTTTCACACACACTCAGTCCGCATGATGTATCATCGGACATAACCGTCAAATCATCTCTATGTGCATCGCACACATAGGATACCGCAAGGATCTGGTCTCACCAGTCCAGGACATA